AAAGTGTAAGCCTCTTGCAGCCGCTATAGGACATCTGCTTCAGTGCAAGATTCAGTTTTTGTCAACTATACAACTATTCTGTTACTTGATTCTACTTTATTGCAACCAAACTATTTCTTATGTATTGTATAGATGAAGTGAAGAATATATAACTAACACATTACAGCCATCTTGTTTATTTACATATCTGCCATTGTGAATTTCATACACAGGTATATGATAAACTTCTACACTTTGATATAGGGCTATTGAATTACTTGCGCAGCAAATTTTGTTGTGATTATCGTGCAAATTAGTTACCCAATTTCTACGGGCTTCGTATTTGATTCATATTTTGACAATGATCAAAAGTATGTCTAGATTTTTAAGATGGAAAACTGAACTTATCTGCGTTAAATCTTCCACAAATCCTATATTTAGACACAATTACACTAATTTTTATCACTTTATATCTGTAATTTCGAACTGAAACATAATTATTTAATATTAAATAGAGGAATAAATGTTCGCCCAATATGGCGGGTGGTTGTGTACAATCATGGCATCGTCCTTGTTGTCTTTAGGTTATTAGAATATTTTGGTGTTGCCTGCAGGTGTTATACAACAATTTGACGAATGTTTGACATAAAATACCGACAGAGTCGAATGATTTACCCAGAATTTGTACCACATCTATATCTTCTGTTTGAACTGTTGATAAAACCTTTTGAACCAATATGCATGAGTTTTTTGTCTTAAACCATTGGTTATGGCATTTTAACAAAAATATGACAGCAGAAAGTTAGGTTATGGTGAAGTTGTTTACCGACATATTTAGCATATGTACAGCCTTTAACAGATACTAAACAACAGTTGTATAAGTGCTTCCGTTGGGAGCAATTTGTTGGCTAAAGTATTAAATTGCACAGCAAAACAACAAGGCTCGGGTTTGTTTTATAAACGTTACCATGGATGCCACAACACAACCATTTTGACTAACTTGCAAATATGCCGTATAAAATAGTTGTATAAACGTTTATGCAACAGTTAAAAATTTGCCCTATAAGGTGTTGTATAACTATGCTATAAGAATATGTTAAACACCTCATTTTAGAGCAAATATGTTGCAGAAAGCAAATTTGCATTCCACACAACATTAAGCCAGCATTTTGTTGGTGTTCAGGCAACAACAATAGAGAGCTTTTATGGCTGAACGGTTCCTTTTACCAAAAGCTTATACCACTACTTGGCTAGTTGGGTAACGCGTCATATTTGTTGACCGTGTCGCCAGACCGTCAGTAATTGCCTAAAAATTCACTGATGGTAAGGACCACGATCAATACAGATCGTGTGATATTTGCCTTAGCTACGCATCCATCATGCACCAATCCTCAACTGACAAGTTGACGTTCGTTATCTCATATGTCTACCACGAAGTGTCTATACTATTGGGTTGTAAATAAAGCTCAGCGGATTTGGAGTATAGTAGTAGTATATTCACCGTCTAGGCCTATCACCTTTTTTTATCGTTTTGATCATATTATTTTGCCTCTGGGGCTTTGTTAAAAATACTGGTGATTTCAGAAAGTCACAATTGACTTAAAACCTCAGCCATTAAGAATACTTTGCAGAGTCCGGAATAAGTACAAATCAAAAATACCTGCTGATGAAAAAAGTCAAAGATGTTAGCGTATAGCATTTTTTAATCTATGAAATCCACAACAAAAGATATCACAAAAACTCCCAATCGTATTTGCATTACTGCATATCAAATTCATTAGTGCTTTGGATAGAAGATTTGTGTGTGCCCTTTTGCACAAAAAGAAGCTTTATATATTTTTGAAGGTTCACCCCTTTCCAGTATAGCGACATTTAATTTATATGAGTAAGTAAAAAATTTGACTTTCCAGCATGCGGGATGTAGAATTGCTAAAATGCAAAATGTTATTAATACCGTATCATATTTGTAAGAAAAATGTTTGTTGTTGGAGGTTTTCACAATCTCGCCAGGTAGAATGAACTGCAAAGATCGTTGACGTATAAGGTAAGCAATAGCGGGCCCCACATTAGATCCTTGAGGTACACCACTACTTGACATGTATGTATGAGAACTGAATCCATTATAGAACACACATTGAGTTTTCCTGTTCTTTGTATACGTACTTAATTTTGTTAAACGCTTTTGTAAAATTAGTATATACGAGTATGACATCCACGAATTGTCTACGTTGCCGCATAAATATTGACAAGGCCAAATTAGTAATAGAGGATCTCTGCTTCATAAAGCCATACTGATGCACTATTTTTAGTTGTTAAGTATATTCGGGAATACAATATTATATACAGGGTGTTTCAGTTTATTGTTGCATAACTTTAAGATTCGATAGAACTTTTAAAATTAATGCATAAAGTATATAAACATGGTCCGAAAAATGCGTGGCTTCCGAAATACAGGGTGTTTAAATTTACTTTCTGAAATGGTTTCTTTTAAATATTTCGAACAATATTTGATGTATAACAGTGAAAATTGGTATACAACGGTTTTTTGGTACGACAAAACGAACCATGGGGGAATAGTTTTACTGTAGCCGCTAGAGGGCGCTCTCTACTGTACCTGTAGTGTATTAAAATGACCGAAAATTTTTTCTTAGTGAAATTTTTTGCTTTTTGAATAAAAAAACTGATTCTTCGCACTTTTCAACATAAAAAAGCTCTCTTGTGAATTTTCATTATAGTTAGCCGTTTTGGAGATATTTCGATTTTTAAGGTTCGATGCATTTTTAATTATTAATGATAAAATAACGTTAAAAAGTCAGTATGTCGATAATTTAAAGTAGGCTGTGCCTGCAAATATTTTTGAAATTGAAAGCAGAATAAGGTTAAACGTGAATTAGTTGACAGTTAGTTTTGTTGTCTGTTGAAACCTGAAACGGTTTTTTGCAATCGTGAAATTGTGAAATTTAGTTTCTTTTACCTGTTTTTTTTTGTAAGTTTTATAAAAATGCCATTTTTATTCTCCAATCAACAGTTAGCGGATATTCATTTTGTGTATGGCTTTGTAAATGGAAACGCAGCAGAAGCAGCAAGAGAATACGCACGAAGATTTCCAAACAGACGACATCCAACTCGCTCAGTATTTGTAAGAGTGCATCGCCAAATAATTGAAAATGGTTTTGGAAATCTCCAAAGGGATCAAAACATAAATGTTCGTCAGCGCAGATTTACCCATATGATTCTGCGTGAGTTTGATAGAGATCCGACCACAAGTGTTAGGACAGTTTCTGGTGCCTTGGGAATTTCAGCAAGCCATGTTTTCCGTGTTCTTCGAAATGACCATAGACGTCCTTACCATTTGCAACCTGTGCAAGGACTACAGCCAGGGGACGGAGAACGAAGAGTCACATTTTGTCAGTGGATTCTTGATAGAACTGATAATAATAGGGAGTTTTTAAGACTTAGTAACGTTTTATGGACCGATGAGTCATGCTTCACTAGACGTGGAGTGCTAAATTTTCATAATCAACATATTTGGTCGCATGAAAATCCGCATGCAGTTCGGGAAAGAAATTTTCAGCATGAATGTGTGGATTGGTATCTACCGTAATCGACTATTTGGACTCTACCTTTTGCCTGCAAGGTTAGATGCTGCGACCTTCTTGGAATTTTTAAAGGCTGAATTGTGTATTGAACAATTGGGTTTACATTTCGAGCAACTACTTTAGATTTTGTATGTTTGTCCTAACTATCCAATAGCATTTTAGATGTAAATAATTAATTTAATTTGTTAAAAATAATATTGGAAAATTAAACAAATTAATATTCTGTTTTTTGTGTTTGTTTGGAGTTAGGAATTATTGCTGTGTTTAAAAACACATCTAAACCATCATCTTAATTACTTGTAATGCCCAAATCGAAAATGTAAAAAAAATATGATTTTCCCATAAATAATTAAAAATGCATCGAACCTTAAAAATCGAAATATCTCAGAAACGGCTAACTACGTATATAACGAAAACTCACGGGAGAGCTTTTTTATGTTGAAAAGTGCGAAGAATCAGTTTTTTATTCAAACAGCAAAAAATTGCACTAAGAAAAAATTTTCGGTCATTTTAATACACTACAGGTACAGTAGAGAGCGCCCTCAAGCGGCTACAGTAAAACTATGCCCATGGTTCGTTTTGTCGTACCAAAAAACACTTGTATACCAATTTTCACTGTTATACATCAAATATTGTTCGAAATATTTAAAAAAAACTATTTTAGAAAGTAAATTTAAACACCCTGTATTTCGGAAGCCACGCATTTTCGACGTTTTCGATGTTTATATAGACTTTATGCAATAATTTTAAAAGTTCTATCGAATCTTAAAGTTATGCAACAATAAACTGAAACACCCTGTATAAGGATTCGCGTGTCTCAGCATTCATTGAATTATGTAACCCTTGAAATATGTTTCTTGTTTCGTATCCTTTTCTACTTTATCCAAGATAAGGCATATAATCCCTTGCGGATCGCTGTCTCCAACATGAGTAATCTTGTTGATTTTCGTGTCCGGTGATACTTGGATTAAATTTTCATGCCCTAGCACCGGATATCATTAGCTATTAAATTATATAGTTCTGGGAATAAAAACCATTACACGACAGCGCGCTTTATCCTTATCCTATGCCATGAAAAAAATGTACACACAGAAAATATTCATTTTATTTGAAAACTAATGGCCATACAAGAAAACGATTCAGAATTGTGAAAATGTTGGGTATTACTTGAAAATACCGAAATAGCAATGTTAGGAGTCAGTATGAATAATATTAGTTTTGTACAATAAATTTTGAAGCGATCTGCAAACGTTGGTTTTTACTGATAATTTTGCTTGCAGCGCATTAAATATAGCATCCCATAATCTAGTAGAGGAGGTTCAACGACATTCTAATTGAATTTCAGTCTCCATTGGATTTTATAATACTTTCCGGATTGATAACGTTCAAAGAAGGCGTGCTCGGCAGAAGATAACCCAATCAAAACGTTTGCCTAGAATCTGAGAGGTCATGGGTGCGATTTTTATTGACGATCTATTGCTTAAACTGAAGAGTCTGAACTTCCTTGTGGTTCTCTTACGATGCAAAACCATGATTCCATTAATTATTCCATAGGCCTATAATTCTTTACGGAACGCTGCTGCCAACGCTAGTAGTCCTCTTAATATTCGTCTACCTATGTTGGCTGGATGACTGCTGTGGACCTCGTCCTCCTTCAGATACACCTTCGGATGAACCTGGAGCCTGTTCGCCCCCCAGTCAAATTGTCTCAGAAAGCAGGTGCCTCCGATTGGCCATATTCCTGGTATCAGTCACTTTGGTAGCCACTTGCGCCGTCATCACACTGGTAAGAAGGTAACCTCCATAGTGAGCATGATTTGGATATTACTAGTAATGGTTAAGTCTTGGTTTTTAGGGAAGCAAAATAGACATTGTAACAATGGTGGATGTGCAACAGTCTAATGCGAGAGTATGGTACATCGCACATTCACCATTTTTTGAAGTACTGTTCGTTCGTTCCTCATCGCAATAAATCCTGCTTAACGCTATGTGTCCAGATGTGTTTACCCTGAAATCAAATCTACTCGTTCTTATCTCAGCGGAAGATCATTGTTAGGCTAGACGAGACTCAGATACATTTGATTCGGACCATATCAACATATAAAAATAATGCAAAAATCCTTTTATACGCAAATAACATAAACAGCTCTTCTTGTTGGTGATTCAAAGGATGAAGATAAGTGCAAAACAAAACTTACAATACGTGACATATAGGATTAGTGTAACAAAAGCAAACTTATATGCTAATTCATAAATCATAGATTATGCATTTTAACAAGATGAATGCTAACAGCATAGACATAGACATTCGGAAGGAATCAAGTTTCGTTTCTCTAGAAACTACCCTGGACAAGTACCTTACATAGGATCAAGAAATTGGGGCTATTCATATGAAATTAAATAAAACGTCATTCTACTAAGCATATTAAAAAACATCGATTGTAAATCATTACACATTTACGGTGTACTATGCTTTTGTATATTCTCCTATTGCATATAACATTGTGGTATGGGGGCAGTCAACAGTGACATCATGAGTATTTATAGATCGAAAAAGAATACCGGTGCTCATATTCAGTCTTAATTATAATGACTCCTGCCGCGAGATGTGTTTAAAAACAATAAAATCTTCACTCCAACGCAATATACAGAGTGTTAATAAAGTATGTAGACTAACTTTAACTATCGAATCCTTGGTCAATTTGAAGTCTAAGTGTTCATATGAACATGGGTCCGTAACGGCTTTCTTTACGAGCTAGAACACTATCACTAAGGAAATACGAGTAATGTTCAATATATTTCTATGAATAATGAAATGTATTTATTAAACAGTTGGTATAACCTATGATAAATTTTGCATATTTTACAAGTTGCTGAGGCTCAATATGAACGTGGCTGGAAATAGTATTATCCTGTATTTTTGGAAAAAATGTATTTATGTCAATAGTCAAAACAAATCAATGACATACTACTTTTTTCAAAAAAATACTGGATAACATCATAAAATACGTTCCATTCTTTTATAATTTTTAGAAGAATATCATCATTTCTTTTAGAGTTTATATGCTCTAGTTTGAAGACTAAGCCGTTGCGGACCCATGTTTATATGGAAATTTCGTCTTCAAATTGACCAAGGGTTCGACGGTTAAACTTTGTCTACATACTTTATCAACACCCTGTATAGTATAATTACAAACTATTATCGCATATACATCGCAATCGAGAAAATTACCTCATCAATGGCTTTAACCATACTTATGAAACGAGAAATAGAAATGAAATATGCTTAGAGAAGTTCAATCGCACTTACTTTATGAAGTTGCCTGATAATGCTCTATGCATTTTAGACGTCAGTTGAGAGCACTGCTAATTGAGTGTACTCTACACAATCCATGAGATTATTCATCTACTAAATCCCTCTGATAGGTATGTAACCTCTGAGATTTGTGTTTTATGTTTATACTTACGTGTTGTTTATAGTAAATCTGTTGTCTTATTTTCATATAGGTAAATTATACTATTTTGTAATTTCTATGCATCTGATTTGACCTGTTATTTACAGCCTACCGTTTTCATAAAAATTACTAATGTTTAGTTTTGCATCACACGTATACTGAATTAGATTTGTTGAATATAAAATAACGCTTCACGAGATCAATCCTTCATCATAGTACCTACAATAGAATGCTCCTCGGGGAATTATCTCAAATTCTGATAGGCGCTGAGATTTATCAGAAAAGTCTGAATGTATCCATGTTGGAAAAAACAATACATTTTTGAGTTTTTGACATTAAAAAACATTCATCAGAACCTTTCGAGATAAGACTAATGGACTATGGCTCTTGGAAATAACTGGATGGGAGATTATTCTACCTGTGTTTAGGAGTACAGCTGCTACATAGGCAAGCAATTGACGTCTACTTTCATTAATTCTACTCTATCCTTTTCAAGAGTAAAGTCCGAATGTCGGGAAGCCTAAACCATACTCATAGTCAGCTAGTAATTATCGTGGTATCATCGAATGAACTATAAATTAGTGGTGAGCCCCGAAGACTAGTTAGCCGCAAAAGGTTACTACAGCCACTGTACAAAAGGTATCACAAAATAGTATGAAAGGTATACAGGTATATCTCGGCGGTTGTCGGTTACATGCATGTCTCAAGTTTATAGTATCGACTTGGGTGGAAGCAAAGATTACTCAAGAAAGGAGATGTGTTAGGACTTTTAATCGTTTGAAGTCTTAAACAAAATAAATAAAGTGTACTCTATGGAAGACTTACCCCGTTTGTTTGGACAACAGAAGAAAGAATGTATACATGTTGTTATTTCAGGTTGACTACAATAGACCACCATTCCCCATTCCTGTAACGCTTGTGTCAACTCGTCCAAAATACTTATCAAAACTTGATCTGAACACCACAGATATTTATATAAATGAAACAACTGCGTCACCAACATGGGATGGTTTGAACATCACTAGTCCAGTGATACAATATCAATATGTGCCGGTACGTATTTCATTCAACTAAAAATATTGCTTTGGTTCGGATCAACCAGATATAGCGCTGTTTGATGCTTATTCGCAATCAACAGCATGGTCTAGACCACTAGGTTAAACAACGATAGAAAGCAAGTCCAAATTGTCCTTTATCAGAAGTATAATGTCTATCGAAATGCTACAGCACAAAGTTCTATTTTTTACCAGAATCGACCACTGCGAAAGTGAGCAGCACTTATCTATGAAAACCTCAGTCCAAATCAAAAATCAAGTCATCACTATGACTGCTGAATATCGTCGATATACTATATCGCTAAGATGGACAGAATCAAGCGGCCATAGTGATGACTTTTGACATGAACTGATATACCTTTAGGCGAACGTCATACGATAAGTGTTTACTTTGATCAGTCAGCATTTACCATGGAATGTGATATTTATTAACCATGTCGCCATGACGTAAGTAATTATTGATGTATAGAGTTAAGTGAAAATCTACTGACACCGACCTAGTGATCAGTAAATAGTGACAGTAAAGGACTACAGTAAATAACTGACCTTGCGACATTCGCCTAACAGTTTCAATGGATAGTTGCTGTTCGCTTCCGCAGTGGACGATTCTGATCACAGATATAATTTTATTCACTTTGTGTTTGATCCAACTTATGGTGGTTTTCTCGCTGATTCATCTCCATATTTTCACTGGCTGATAAGTGGAACTACAGATGAAAAATACTTTGCTGGAATTTCAATGCGCTTTGAAAAGGACTTCTGATAAATCTGAAATGACAATTAAGTCTTATTCCAACATCTGTAGTTTGATTCAACAGCCAGGGGGGGATAGAAATGAATCGTTGCAATCCTTTTTGCTCAAAAAGGTACCTTAAACTAGATAAGAATGCTCCCATTTCTCATACTCGATCGTGGCTAATAGGCCTTTTTATTTATTTCAGACGTATTTGTATAGTTCTGCGTTAGTCTTAGCAGCAATATCAGTCTTCTTGAGGATGGGATTCATCTTGAAATTAGTACTGATGGTGATTTCTGTCATCACACATATTGTTCTCTACAGTTATCTGGAGTTCTTTCAAGAATATCATGATGCACATGATGATGCGTAAGTTAAACATTGATAATTACCAATTTAACGTGGATCCATCTAACAAGCTTTCACCAGATTGTCCTGATCTAATTCTTCATGGGAGAGGTTAACTTTTGAAATCTATTCTCCAAGAGAAGTCAGGAGAAATGAAGAACGAACTTAATGTATTTGACTTGGTGCAAATAATTCCTTTCCTGTGGCAACAACCAACGATACTAAAACAAGTAATTAAAGGAGATCTCATCAACTGTGTGAGGATCTAGTGATTCTGGACAAAATTGAATTCTTAACTGATGAAATAAACCGATCATCGATTTCTTAGCTCATTCACCGCCGTGTCAGTCTTTGGTTACTGGAACTGCATAAACTACATACCTACGTTTAACTTTTTGCTTAGCACTATCAGTTAAGCGTTAGATGCTAAGTTATATTTGGTTTGTCTAACGCAGAATGCATCGAAATAAATAAAATATTTAATATTCTTGAGTTTTTAGGCTGACATTCAGTATGTTAAGGATGATGCAATATATCCAAGTAATTGAAATTCATATATTCAAATCATCTGTATTTGCTGCCGATGGAATCAGCAGATAGGATTTGATTTTTATTTCGGATAGCGATGGAGCGTATTTATACATTTAGATTGCAGTAGGTTTAAACTTTACGCTAGATGTGATTACGTCATATATTTGCTGCAAAAATTTACGTCCGAACCTTCAAGAGCTGGTATTGCCACTTCTTATTCACAGAAGAAAGTGAAGCTACTCAGAATATACTTTTTGGAGGCACAACTAATATTACGGCAAAATAAAAATTTTGACGAATCGCTATCAAGGTTACTAAGCTACTAGCAGAACGAATAAGGCATTCACGTACCATTTTTCTATTTTTTTTCTGTAACTCATAATCATTCTAGGGAACATTGAAGCTACCTCGTATGGCCTCAAAAGGATTTGGGATTTATCATTACTAGTCTTTTCAATCATAATGTTAGGCACACGTGAATGATATCATCGGACTTAAAAATCTCCTGAACTTTATCAGAATTAAGAAAGTTCTCATAAACATAAGATATGTCCCAATACATACCATTACCAAGATAAACTGCTGCTTAAGTAATGCTATGGTGAGAAAGAATTATTACTCGCCTTACATACTACATACAACTTGCTAAATTTACAAATAAGTAGACCAGGTTTAAGGGCTTATATGGATCTTACCCCAAATATTCAACCCAATGTTTCCCTAAATCTGACAAAAAAACTCATTAGAGGCAATACATTTCAAGAAAGTCTGGAGTAGAAAGTCATTGTATTTTTTATCCTGTAAGGGTCAATATTTTCCAGTTTCGACGCCTTTCTGGTATAGTCTTAAGAACATTTTATGCGATGCTCTTAGTACTATGTATACAAAAGTTCAAGTAAATATATTGATTCTCTCTGATGGTACATTTTTCAAATTAGTTAGTTATAACTCCAACCAGTATCTCAGGAAGGGTGTAGATGCAATTCGTGACACACGAATATATGAACTGTTCCTATTATGTTTCCATGTACCTTATGCGCTATAAATAATTTCATTATTTTCTAAATCATCCTGCATATTTGTAAATGACTTAAAAATTGGGAAAATATATGGAAAGTGTCGGGCAATCTATTTGAATTCATGTGTCTCGTAATTCTTTACTTTCAAAAACTGAACGTCTCTCCATCTTGGTCGGAAAATTTATTTTGACGCTTTATCCGTTCTAACATGATAAGCTAACTTTATAAAATTCCTCAGCTTCCCGGCCATACCATTTGAAGTGAAAACCGGCCTGGCGTTGGCGCTGGTGGTCGTTTTGTTCCACATCCTGGACAGACAAATAGAATTTACAAGCAGGACGGACTATCTATGGAAAGCCAAGCTAAAAGTCGAGCAAGAAGAGGTGGAGACTATGCGAGGCATTAACAAGGTAGGAATTTTCACATGTAACAACATGTCGGCATGGGAGTATATCAAAGCAGAAAATACAGAGCGTTACAGACTGTTACCAAGAAAGATAAAGGGCACATTCAGCACGCAAGATATGAAAATTTTTTCGAAAACATAGGTTTGGAGATGCTTCGTATCCAAATTGTGGGGCATTTAGACTTACCCGTCTTTAATAGTTCACCTTACATTTTCCGAAAACAGTATGAGTTATTAGATGAGCAAATGTATTGCCAAATTATATTCTTACGTACAAAATTGTTTTCTGAAGCATTTACACCACTGGCGTTTGCGCTGGTAGTCTCTACATCTAGCTGAAAACAGTGCGCCACTGATTTTTTAAATTCCTAGAGCCAGACTGCTTCTACTGTCTGTTGAACCTTTTCGTCCAAAAGCACAGCTCTCGAAGCTCAATTTACTGTATCAACCAGTCTAGAAAGTCTAGAAAATATAAAAAATGTATCAAAAGGGTTACTCTGCAAGAATATGATTCGCTCCAGGGAAAAGGTCTTGCATCTCATTTTTAGAAGTGGAAAGTAGACTTGAAACTGTTAATTTTGTTTCTTGTAACTATAAAATGATTCCAATTGATGACAATAGCTACAAGCAAAAAATAAACAAGACCGTGGAACTACAGTGCCTTCTTAACATATTGAACGTCAACGGGCTTGTTTGTAAAACGTAATAAAATGCATCTTATACTTTTATCTGACATGGCGTGTCATCGCTGACAACTCTAAATAACAAGTTAAAAGTTGGCATGTAGTGTCTGTTGCTGATAACTGACACCGCTCTATTGAAATAGTTCAGTGTCAGTCACCAGTGACTGACAAAGCGGTCAATTTGTAAATATAATAAGCAATAACAACCATCCTGACTCATGAAACAGATTTTGAGAAGTAATATTATTTTAAAAAACACTGCAACAAAAATGGAGATTAGAGATAATTTCGTTCAGGACCTATTTTGTTTCTTCAACGTGTCCAAGTACATAATTTTCCACGAGATTAGAAGTCAACGTTGCGGACTCCTACCATACCATTTATTGACCACATTACGTAAATATACTAAGTGATATATAAATCCGAACACCCAGTTTAAATGGTTTTATTTGAATAAAATTTTGTATAAGTACTTAATGAAGCATAATAAGTAAATGATAAAAATTTCAATTTTAATAGTGTGTGGATGCACCCTGATGTGCTACGCATTCTCCAACGCGCCTAGGCATGCTTCTGATCAGGTGGTCAATGTCCTCCTGTGGTATCTCATTCCAGGCAACCACCAACTCCTCTCGAAATGCTTCTAGAGTCTGAGGAGGACGTTGCAAATTGAGCAATCTCCTACCCATCATATCCCACACGTGCTCAATTGGGGATAAGTCGGGAGATCTTGATGGCCATGGTAACAATGTGACATCATTATGTTGAAAGAAGTCTATTGTGACTCTTGCAACATGTGGTCGGGCATTATCTTGTTGGAAAGTTGGATCTGCCAGGGTGTCAAGATAGGGTAAAAGATGGGGTTCTAGAACTTCGTGGATATAACGCTGCGCGTTCATGTTACGTCTGATGAAGATTAAAGGTGACCTGGAACCATAAGCTATAGCACCCCAAACCATAAGTCCAACAGTGTGATGAACATGTCTTTCAACAAAAAACTGTGGATTCTTCCTTTCACCACGTCGCCTTCTAACCCTGGCACGACCATCGTGCATGCCTAAACAAAATCGAGACTCGTCACTAAAGACAATACTGTTCCATTCCTGATCCCAGAGTGACCGTTGTCTGCACCACTCAAGGCGATTACGTCGGTGTTCTCGAGTTAAAGGGAGGACCCAGTGTCGCCGGTATGAAAACAAGCCAAAACTTCTCATTCGTCGGTAAACACTTCGCATGCCAATAGGTCTTCCGTGTTCTGCAAACCATTCATTTGCAATGGACCTGGTAGTGGAGAAACGGTCCCTTAAGGCCAATAATCTTAGGCAGCGATCTTCACGGTCTGTTGTTCTACGGCGGCGTCCAGTACCCTTCCTCTTTGCGTACGGCCTTCTCGAAGCCATGCCTGACAACACCTAACCACAGTGTCTACACTTCTTTGCACTCTATCTGCAGTTGCCCGAAAAGAAAGTCCAGCTTCCCGAAGTCCCACTATACGGCCCCTATCAAACTCACTAAGTTGACGAAATCGTACAGGTCTCCGTACTCTAGGCATCGTAACCGATCGTAAAGGATGTCAAGAACCAAAATCCGCCAACGTTGATTCTTTACTGCGGCTGAAATATTCATTTGTAGAGCGTTAGTGAATTAAAAAAAAGCAGTATAAAAACCGGAATGTCCAACTGATAAGGCTGAAAATTTTTTAACTTTTTATTTACAGTAAGATAAATACATTCACCAACTTTTATTAAAATAAAACCATTTAAACTGGGTGTTCGGATTTATATGTCACTTAGTATACAATTGATTCATAATGGGAATTTGTTCTTATGCTCAAACTCGCTTTCTGTACAGTGAACATTTTGTTAGATACTGAAGTACATTACCCGCAGAGTATGGTTATCGAGGTGGTTATCAAGAACAAATAATTGTATATACAGGGTTATCCAAATTAAGTGTCCACCATTGGTAACTTTGTTATTAGTAAAAATACAAAGTTGTTTAAATTAGCAAACTAGTAGCATTTTTAACGCTGGTAAAAATGAGAAATAAAAAAAAACAATTGAGAGTCGTTATTTTGAGTAAAATAACATTTTTTTAAATGGAAACCCCTGTATATTATATTTTTTTCTGTTAAAGCATCAAATTTTAAACAAAAAAGTTCATAATGACTTTTCCGCTAAAGTCAAAAATAAAGTCAAAATAACGATAAATATTTTTAATTATTTGCAGTATTATAATATTAAGACGGCTATGAAAACAACATGGTGTTCGCGATTTGACAGCATTAAGATAAGCGACAAATTGTTAAACTGGACATACTCGCAACTAGAAGGCTTTGGAAAACAATGATAAAATCAAATAATGTCAAACATTAGTGTAAATACTTGTTTATAAGCTTTATTGTGTCATTAATTTAAAGAAAAATGTTCTCCCATGAAGAAAAGTGTGATATGTTAGAATGCTATTTAGTGTGCAGAAAATCCTCCTTGAGAGCAAGAGTGAATTATATCCCGCTCGCATTCAACCGTATGAACGATATTTTCTGAGACTTTATCGAAAATTTAGGGGCAACGAAAATGTTTTTGCTAAAACAAAGGCAAAAAAGAATTCATAATAAGCGAGGCCACGGAAATTGCAGTTATTGGATATTTTGAGAATTCAATAGCAGATATTCTCAAGGACTCTAATTTCAGTTATGGTACTGTTCAAAGGATTTTAAAAAAATACAAATTTATTCCGTATAAGTACCGACCAGTTCAAACGCTTTTGGCAGGGGATCCAAAGAGAAGACTTGTTTTTTGCCATTGGTATCTTAGCTTCTGTCGCCAAAATGTAACTAACTTTCGTTACCTTTTATGGACAGATGAATCAAATTTTTCAAATTCTGGAATGTTTAATAGAAAAAACCACCATTATTGGTCAAGAGAAAATCTTTTGTTAGTACATCCAAGAGGCCCACAAGTCCGTTTCAGTTTCAACGTTTGGTGCGGTATAATTGGTTCAAAAATTGTTGGCCCGTTCTTTTATGAGGGAACCCTAACTGGTGAAAGATATGTGGAATTTATGTCAGAAATTCTGACTAATTTCTTAGACGAATTGGATCTTATAAGTAGACATCATCTGCATTTTCAGCAAGATGGCGCACCTGCCCACAACTCCAGAGGTACTTATCATTTTCTAAGTACTACTTTTAATGATCAGTGGATAGGAACAAATGGCCCAATACAGTGGCCTCCCAGATCACCAGATCTAAACCCACTTGATTACTTCTTGTGGGGTTACTTAAAGAACCAAATTTACAAGCGAAGGTACGATAACCTTGACGCGTTAAAGACTGCAGTTAGGGAAAAGATAACCCAGATAGATGGTAGGACCATACTTAAGACAGTTCGAGCAGTTGAAAAACGTGCCCAAAAATGTATTGAAGAACAAGGTGGTGTTTTCGAGCATCTTCTTTAAAAAAAAATTGTTATTGTATTTTGTAAGATTATAAGTTGATGTTGAAAATAAAGTTTGTCGATACAATTTAATTGTTTCAGATTGGAGGCCATAACTTCAACAATTTGTAACCTAGGAGAAAAGTTATTGTAAGCTTTTTTGTTTAAAATTTGATGCTTTAACAGAAAAAAATATAATATACAGGGGTTTCCATTTAAAAAAATAACGACTCTCAATTGTTTTTTTTATTTCTCATTTTTACCAGCGTTAAAAATGCTACTAGTTTGCTAATTCAAACAACTTTGTATTTTCACTAATAACAAAGTTACTAATGGTGGACACTTAATTTGGATAACCCTGTATATATATATATAGAATGTAGATAATCAATGTGAGGTATACAGTTTAGTTTTGTATCGAATACTATACTAAATCTTACTGAGAAAAATGTGACATATGTCTGGTATTCATATAGGGATAACCTGTTGGCTAAAAACAATTTTTGGCATCCACACTCGTGTTTCGATGTGGACTAGGTATCAAGGTGGTATCGTCTGCAAATAGGAAGCCGGATCCGTTGTCAATACTCTAGAACATGTCAATGATATATCTGAAATAGCAGGGGGTCACGTACTGATCCCTACGGATCTCCGCTGCAAATACGCAAAGGTCAGAGCCGGTACCGTTAAAGCTTACCTAGTGCCTCGTTCTAGACAGATAGGAACGAAATAGTTCTAGATCAGTATTTCTCATGTCATACTACTGTAGCTTTTTCAATCGTATATGTGAATTCACGAAAGCCTTTTTTTGTGATTGATGTTTTTAAAAATTCAAATTGTGCTATAAAAATGATAGATTTACCTTCGCAGTAGCTTGTTAATTCCTCTTTCACATTAATCTCAACGATTTTTCCAGTAATAGGTATAATTGTAATTGGCCTGTAATTATCGGCGGGGTCTCAGTCCCTCTTTTTATGAATAATTATAGTTTTAGAAATCTTGAATACGTCCGACCAAATACCCTCGCGTATACATTTATTATTATTATATTTATTATACAACAGCCAACGCTTCTTCTAAGATATCAACAGACGCACTGATAATTGTGCCATTGAGTCCAGAACAATCCATCGCAGGTAAATCCTTCATAAGTAATATCTGACATCGTAGGGAAGTATTAAAGCTAAAAGAGGGAAGAATATCTTAGATACTTTATGCATTTATGGTTTCTCTTGTTGGCAGGTCTTGTTTCATAAGAATACATTGACTTTTTTTAAATTTTCGGTGTTTGATAGTCCAAACCCCAACTTTTAAGACCGAGTTTAAGTTAATTACTAGAAACTGAACCCATCTGAATCAGTAAAATAAAAACTTCAAAGTGCCATAGCTCGGCGAAAGAAAAAGATAGATTTAAGAAAACTCTATGGAATTTGAATGGCAATCCTTGTGCATTGAGGTGATCTCTATGGGTTTTTGGAATAAACAGTAATTTTCAATGGTAGTTAACGTTAAATAAAAGCAAACATTGATATTTTTGCATTTTCAGGTTGGTTTACCTCGGATACTAGAGCAAGTTGAGAGATTGAATAACGGATTCGGATTCAGTGAAAAAGTGTGCAGTAGTTTCTGGGCAGAATTTTTTTCGTCCTGTGTGATCCTCATGAATGGCAGTTTCTCATCAAATGCTTTTTCAGTTTTGTCGTCACACTTTTTAGTTTATAGATCATGGCAAAGGTTATGAAAAGTAATGGCCCAATAAGCAATATTTGGGAACAGCTAATTAACTACACTTCAGAAAAAACTAATTCACTTGCAGTGACAGCAGAATGTTTATATTTTGTATTTGAGCTAACTAGAGTGGATAATTAATAAAAATGTAAACATAATCTAGCTGTAGTGTAGCTGCCTGTCATAATGAAAAACTTGTAGATACCAATTAGCGGTCCAGAGGGTGAGTGGGTGCGTGTGTATGTGGAGTTAGAGATTGTGGGATTAACACGAATAAAGCTCCTTTTGTAACCAAGTGTCCGTAAACTTTCATGCGAGATCCTCATTCACAGATAAAACAAATTCGAGCTGCTACTCTAATACAGTCACTTGCAGTCGGCAAACTTTACGCGTTTGGTGAAAGCGTATTCTGACAAAAGCTTACTCGGGAGATTACACTGAAGGAATGTTGAATTCCAGAACAACCCAGCCATGATGGCGTCCAAGAATACACATGACAGATAGTCATACAGGAAGTTGTACATAATACGTATAATTCTTTGGATTATATGGATTTAGTTTCGACGTATAGACAAGATTTTTACTAGTAATCTGTTTGGACTGTTAACCGTGTAGGTCTGGCTACTCAGACAAAGCGAAAAAATCTCGTCAAGTATATTGACTCTGCACCTTTTGCGTAACGCTATCGTCAGCTCATCAAAGATTCGGCATAAGTTAGCCCCTCTAAGACAAAAGTCAACCAAAAACATGTATAACAAATAAATTAAATAGATTAGGTCAGTCAAATAGACTTGTACAATCATTTGTTTCCAAGAAGAATTTTCTAACTAACAGAGACTGTCAAATACACTCATCCAAACAAACTGATGTCGCTATGTTGCCAAACGTCATGCTGAACTGGCTTCGTCCAATATTAATGACTGTTCGGGACTATCAGGAATTTATTGTTTGAAAGGACCGAAATCATACCCTGTTCCCACCCATTGCACAAGCAATGGCAACATTGCTTTCAGAATGGCGATCAGAATGCTCATTACCACCAAAACTGTACAAAGCCTAGATAAGACCTAGCCACGAGTACTGTACTGCCGCCCTGGCTACATTATCTATGCTCGATGCTGTTCAAAGGAGGGCTCTAATGGACATTATCGGAACCGTTTCACACGGACGAGCCGTCGGCGATCTAGCTCTCTTCTACGGCTACGCCAACGGGCTTTGCTCATCAGAGCTCTCCTCGATGATTCCACTGCATGATGTGGCTACCAGACAGAGGCGCCTGACTTCATGAAACTGTGTCAAACTTCGTACATCCAGAACTGGCCGATACGACCGCTCCTTTGTACCTAGGAAATCAGGATTGTGGAGCAATCTACTTGAGAAGGCTTTCCGCAGTTCTACTGATCTTAGGCAGTAAAAAAATCGGATTAACAAAGTTTATTTAAGCGCTTCATAGAAGCCGCGGTGCCCTGGTACTTAGGCTTCTGCCTGGGCGGCTGCTTCAGTATAAAAGCAACAGTCGCGGAGTCATTAGCGCAGCCGCAGTAACTATATCCATTTCTCAGCGCGAGTTTTGAAAGTCTTAACGGCAGATATACCTGTATGGTGAAATCTGTGTGTGAAATAAAGCCTATTAGTTGCGTACAATTTTCGGGGCTAATGTACTACATTAAAAAAACTGAGACATACCTCACACACCCCAATTGTGTTTCTTTTAAAAAAATGTTCAGAAACAGTAGTCTCTCGAACTTTGAAAAATTTTAATTTTTGTATTATCATCTTATGTGACCATTTCATCAAGATCTGAACAGTACTTTTCAAGTTATATACGGACCATAAATTAACGACCAGACAGACCGACAAACTGGCAGAAGTGAGTTTTCGTAATAAACATGTCATACAACATCTAAAAAATCTGATATGTGATTCCGAAGTTCTTCGTGACTACAATACATCCTTGTTAGTGGCGTAAGAAGGAAAAGTGGAGAAAGTTATGATACTGAAGGTCATGTCAACATCATTCAGAAAGGTAATGGTTGAGCGGTCCCAATGGGTGGTGATAGGAGAGAGCGGGGAGGATCTTAGTCCGTGGGCACTTATTTGACGCATTGCGCCTACTGTCTAAGTGTCCAATGAATACGACAGCTCATGCAGGAAAAAATAGTGCTTGACTCGTACGTATAGCCTTCGTACCGAGCAACTGAAGCATCCAAGAAATAAGAACTGAATTTGAATGATGCCTCTCCCATACTTTCAGATCCTTCTGGAGAATATCCTTCCAGCTCACGTGGCCGAACACTTCTTGACGACGAGAGTCACTCAAGACCTTTACCACGAGCGATACTCCTGCGTTGCCGTAATGTTTGCCTCGATTCCCAATTACAAGGAGTTCTATGATGAGAGCGACGTCAACAAGCAGGGACTTGAGTGCTTACGGTTACTCAACGAGATCATTTGCGAGTTTGATAAGGTAAGGCTAGGCGGAATATATTAAAATTGGTTGGATACCTTGTGTTAATTTTTTTCAAAGTGGAATTGAATAATAATTACTAGCTGCCCAGTCGTATTAAAAAACTATATTAAATAAATTGTTTGTGGTAGCTTCATTAATAATTCCAGTATCGATATTTGTGTGTACTTGAGCGTTTCTGAACCGTACACTTCAGAGCTTAATCGAAAATTAATCGGTATTTGCCTGACCTAATTGACAACAGGGACACAGGTAGGCCTACATGTTTCTTTGGTCTTGCTTGGAGTAAATAACATTTTTTCGATTTTGCTGTCGTCATTCTTGCACGATTAGGGAGCGAAATGTGAACCAGCAAGGATCGTGGTCTGTTCACACGGTCACGATTCAGTTACTCGTAATTCCATGAAGGCGACCTGGAGGGGCTCCTTATACTTTGCTAATCCGATTTTTTAACTGCCTAAGGTTTGTAGAATTAGGAAAAGCCTCCTCTTTTAGATTACTTCACAATCTCGGCATCCTTGGAACAGGACCAGTTAAAATAAACGGCTCTTTGGCAGAATTCGGCCATCCATCGAAGCGCTAGTGGTTTGTTGAAAATAGAAAGTATTCAAACATTTTCGTATTTCACTATGTGTTGTGTTCGTTGTTTTGCAACGGTTGGGTGTGAAACATCATTGAGTTTTCTGTTTGATTTCAGCTACTTCTGAAGCCAAAGTTTAGTTGTATAGAAAAGATAAAGACCATAGGAAGTACTTATATGCTGGCATCTGGTTTGAGGCCTGGAAAGGAAGAGAACAGCACGGTAAGTTACCAATCCCATACTTTTTTGCATAAATAACCCCTCTTTTGTCATAATAGCGGCTTTACGGAACATATAAGGGTTTTCGTACAGTGATTGTTGACTTTTCGGTGACTGTGTCTGGCATCCAGCCACGTAAACTCCGACTATAAAGCGTAGCAGACTGAACTGAATTTGTGTAGAGGGATACTGAACACGGTCACTGACAGGTGAGTGGCTGCTGTACAAACAGGGCTATAGAGCACTCCAAAAAGCAATGGCAATATTCCAATAACAAGAAGGAAGACATCCAAAGACAATGTTACATTCTGCTGAGGTGGCATGACTTGAAATGAATTTCATTTGAATTAAACTTTATATGAGGTTAGACAATGAAAGGGGAAGGCATTACTCATTTTTGAAGTGGCTGATAATGTGTTTACCCCAATTCAGCATAAAATCCCCTGGTGGTCGGGGCATGCTTCTGAAGATCTAGCTGTACCTGGGTCCAAAGAACTGCTAGCGCTTGCGGAAGATGAGTCAAAGATGTCACTGTTATGCTTATCATATCCCATATGGGCAGAATGTCTTGAGATCTAGGAGTGTGACTTGGCGTTTACAAGGTAGTGTACCGGAGCTGTGAGCTTTTGGAGAATTAGTAAATGACCAGGTTCCAGTATCTCCTGGATATACCCTAGTACCGTCATGTCTCCTCTAGTGAAAACTATGGGTACTTAGCACTATATTCAATGACGCCCCAAGTCGTAACCTCTGATATACGGTGTAGGTGATGTTCAACGGAAAGCTATACCTTACGTCTTTCTCCACGACGCCGCGTCGTCTGGATCGTGCTCATCTACTCGTATAATGGGATGCCACCATTTTTGTTTTTGGTTCTGTTCATGGACAAGCACGAGTAGATGCGGAGAAATTGGATCCTCTGACAACTGTATACAAAATTTCATTCAAATAAACTCTTTGCTTGGTGTACTACAGGTGGCTATTGTGAGAAGATTCTAGTATTTATAGATGTAGGCAAGGGTAGATCTTATTACCCATGGTTATACCACATTAACGTGTTATTTTCTGACGGACATTACGTTGAAATATTGCCAATATGCTTTGATTGATATTGTATATGTAACATAATAAGGGCTTAAAGCTATTAGAGTCCAAACCTGTTTTAGTGAAACCTGAAATTAAATTCTCCTGTGCTGTGGTATCGCGTAAACTAGTTAAAATGCACAAGCGCTTCAGCAGCTCAGAAATGTATCAGTTTTTTGTTGGTACTCATTAATGCGTCACACGTCACACTGATAATGGATCACTAGTATTCAAAGGCATTCTCAGAATGACCATGTTACTTTAAACTTTTCCAATTTTCCTCTGCGTCCGTATTTTCAGAGTAATATTGCAGCTGGGTGAAAAGCCAGTTACGATTTATTTCTACGGGTCAGCGGGTGCAAAAGGCACATTATCCTGGTTCGTTCCTCTCTCCTAAATCACCAAAGCATTCGTTGCTGCAGCTGTGAATTCAAATTGGGCTGGCTCTATTCTCATGACACTACTTGAATAAGTGCCTCTAAAAATTTCGTACCGTTGGGTCGAGGAATGTCGAATCTAAAATTAGTAAAGACTGGTTTTAGTTTTAAATTTTCACATTTCAGCTAGATGATTTTTGTGTGAATTGGGTTATACTGTTTGTGTTTTGATCAATGGGGCTTATTTTTAATGAGCAGAAAACCGAGTGCATTGTATTCGGACTAGCACGAACGTACCCAAAACATATCAAGTTTGGCGGGAGTGGGGAGCGAACAGTCGTAACCCCCGTCCTCGATACCTTGGGATCAATCTTAATAAAACAGTTAGCATGGACGGCCTCTTTGAAGAAAGTATACTTAAGGCTAATTGAGCAGCTTACGCTCTCTCTCTCTCTCTCTCTCCCATCATTGGCTACCCGGTACTAACATACGGATTCACTGTGCTCCCACGCAGAAGTAAAAGTGGCATTCCTGAATTGAAGTGCTGCTTTAAGAAGATATATAAAAGGGCTGGGCAATTCCCCTGCTGCATCTTAGATGACATTTTTTGGGAGATGCTACAAAAGGACAGTGTGGAAACACGTCTTAATCAGGCGCATGAGATACTCGTATTTCTTAAAATCACCGAGGAAGAAAAACTAGTGAATTCTTATAATGATAATAATACTTTGTTAAAAAGTTTTATCCCGCGTCCTCTATCCTCCTCCTCCTATTTCATCCCTTTCCTAAGAAGAACATATCTTGAAGGTACACAGAAGGAATATATTTTTGTTTTTCATTGTTTATATGTAAGCCAAAGGCATCATATGTAACATAATCTATGTAAAATAAATGTTTCAAATTGAATTGAATTGTTGTCGTTTTGCAAGTCTTCGTCTTTAGAGCTGAAGATAGAATTTCGAAATAAAAACAAATACAGTGAGAAAGTTCATTTTTTGATTTAAGAAAAAAATACATACTGTTGAATCGACGTTCTATTCTTACAATACTAGCAAGAAAGTGTCAATCGTGTCCTTGTATCGCTCGAAATCGACTGTCAATGCATGACCGTTTTCATCTTTAAAGCAATACGACCCAATAATACCGCTAGAGGATATGGCGCACCAAACAGTCACCTTTGGGCTATGTAGCTGTTGTTGATGTTTATCTTTTGAGCTCGTTGGGACCAAATGTCTGCAATTTTGCTTGTTTATATAACCGTCTAAGTTAAAATGGGCCTCGTTACTGAAAGCAACGTGCTCGAGTTTGCGCTGCGTAGGAAAAAGACTCAACATCCCTTCAGCACACGATTTCCGTAATGCGTAATCACTTCCCTTTAAAGCATGGACTGATTGGATTCTATAAGGATGAAAATCCATTTTTTTTCATTATACCATGCAATGTTGACCTAGGGATTCCCTAAGTAGCGGAATGCTTTCGTACAGAACGGATTTGCAATCACCGGATCACTTACTCGACGCACATTTTCCTCGGTTGATACAGTAGGTGTGGGGCCAGAAATCGGTTGACTAAGAGTAGAGCCTGTTTCACGGAACCTCTTAATCCACTTTTTCAATAGGTTCTTACTTGGGCATCTCTTGATCGGCGAATGTTGTATAGTATACAAAACTTCTGATAGGCAGCTGCGTATGAATCACCACTCTTAAAGTAAGCCTCGATAGCAAAAGCATGTTGCGCTCCGGTCCAACGTTCCATTGTGACAATTTAACCCGCACGCTGAACGCGTCGATCAAGACCTCTGTCCACTTCCTCGCGTAATTTAAATTTGAAATGTGAACTTTCCCAATGGTATTTGTTTAGAAAGCAACAACTTGAGAGAAAGGAAAAGAAAAAGTGGGCGCCGGCGGGATTCGAACCCGCATCTCCTCCATTCCGTGGAGCCGACCTAACCAGTTAGTCTATAGCACCAGCTATCAACCGACTTTCAGGATCGACTGAGGCTAATTCAATCTTACGCCACTGTTCCACTGTTCTTTCAAGCCCTATCTGGCGGCGTTCAAGTCAAAAAGTTACAATACAATGTGGATGTCGTGGCCATATCGTAAAACTGACCACTTCATGAAATGATCGAACATTTCAATCGGTTTACGTCTTACGACGTGAATACTAACGTTAACGGTTACCTATGTGGTATTTCTAATCGCCATGACTCTTTATACTAGAAACGTACATTTTTCCATATTATATTAGAACCAGATCACATAACACTTCATCTTCCCCATTAAGTCACAGGGTTCAAGTCAAGTGAGTATGTTGAAGTTCGTTACGGATAGAGTTTAAACTAGGATCTCCTGTAAACCTGCTGTTTAGATACTAAGTTCAGTCCAAAAATATATCCAAAATATAAGTATAGGTTATAGATAGGTAAATATTGACTGTCATGATTACCAAAAAACATCTGATTGGTACAGTAACGTTGCCAAAATTAAGTTGGCCACATTGCCATGGAAATATATCAATCAAACGTACCACAGGTCACAGGGACTACCGCTGAGTATTAGTGCATTGTACTAATAGTAATCTCTTAGCTACGAGTTTAGAACCATATGTGGCAGCGTGTACTACTACATTGTTTTAGTATGAGGTGACATCCCCCTGGACCCAACCTCTGTAAGTATTCGTCACACCAACGGATTCAAACTAGGGAGAACGAGCAAGTCTATGATTTGTTTGTCTCCAATATCTCGTAGTATGTAGTCTGGATGAAAGTTCATACTAAGAGTCGATCGGGCTTGAGCCGCCAGTTTAACAGTTGTTAGCATTCCACATAAAAGACATATGTCCGATGGTGAAGGTCTCTGTGGAATGCAAAAACCCGATGAAACAGTACTTTAACAGACTTTAACTATATTTTTTTAAATTATTTATCAGATCAAAGAAAATATGCTGTTTGAAATACAATTTAATATGCTTCAATGTGAGTATAAATTTATGAAAACTTATTTTGACTTACCGAAATTAGGCTTTTTATTATAAACATAAATAGGGTTATTGACCGTTTGAAACTTAAAACTTAATTTTTTAACAAAGGGCAAAAACCCGATTAAACAGTACTTTAACAGACTTTAACTATATTTTTTTAAATTATTTATCAGATCAAAGAAAATATGCCGTTTGAAATACAATTTAATATGCTTCAATGTGAGTGTAAATTTATGAAAACTTATTTTGACTTACGGAAATTAGGTTTTTTATTATAAACATAAATAGGGTTATTGACCATTTGAAACTTAAAACTTAATTTTTTAACAAAGGGCAAAAACCCGATTAAACAGTACTTTAACAGACTTTAACTATATTTTTTTAAATTATTTATCAGATCAAAGAAAATATGCCGTTTGAAATACAATTTAATATGCTTCAATGTGAGTGTAAATTTATGAAAACTTATTTTGACTTACGGAAATTAGGCTTTTTATTATAAACATAAATAGGGTTATTGACCATTTGAAACTTAAAACTTAATTTTTTAACAAAGGGCAAAAACCCGATTAAACAGTACTTTAACAGACTTTAACTATATTTTTTTAAATTATTTATCAGATCAAATAAAATATGCCGTTTGAAATACAATTTAATATGCTTCAATGTGAGTGTAAATTTATGAAAACTTATTTTGACTTACGGAAATTAGGTTTTTTATTATAAACATAAATAGGGTTATTGACCATTTGAAACTTAAAAC